ATCAATACTAAAACAAACAATTGTTTACTTATTTGCTTCAAAATCAATACAAACTGAGCCAATTCAATGAGCTTCTTACCCATCCTCACTCTCTGCTAACGATGCAGGTAGCCGATTCTGTTTTGAATGTTAAGATAAGTTAGCATAGCCACAGATGACAGTGGATAAAGAGCTTTCCTGTAATACTGAGTTTTTTCCTCCTCCATTAGCACATTGTTTTGTTTTTTTTTTCCATTAGCACATTGTGCAGCGAGTACATGAGTTTGAGTGACAGCACTAAGCCCCGCCTCCTGGTTCTGATTGGTGCCTTTCTTCAGACAGCAATAGTAGCTCAATTAGAAGATGGAGGAGATTGAGCTTTTCACAAATGATTTGCCTCATATTGTATTGTCATAACAGAGTTTGAATAAATATGAAAAGAATATATTTTTATTAAAGTTACATACTGCATTAAACTTGTAAATAAAGGTGTACCATAGCTGTGTATTTTCTTTGTCAACTCAGTGTTAGAAGTCATTACTAGTGTAGTGTAGCGTAGCTTCATGGCTGATGTTGGTGTTCTGCTTCTGTAGGCCCGTCTGTCCATGGAGCTACAGAGAGACAGCCATATCAAACAGCAGCGGCTGATTCAAGAGCGCTGGAAGAGAGAAACTCGACGTGAGGCAACCAGGGCGCGACCCGGCGCTGGGCCAGGCCCCCTAACCAAAACCCAGCCGTCAGGCCAGCTTCCAGCTGCTGACACTGCCAGGCTCTCTGCTGAACCAGGCAGAGGAATCGGTGAGCGAGAGTATGACACCCTGCTTTACCAGTTCCATACTCGGCAGGCTGGAGCCTGCCAGCGTTTGACTTCACCGTGCCCTGGCTCCAAAACCACCAAGGATGATAAAACCCGCCTGGAGGAGCAGCAGACCACCATCGATGACCTGCGGCGCCTGGTTGACCATCTGATGAACGATAACCAGCGGCTGTCAGCCGAGAATGAGCGGCTACGTTTGGAGAACTCCCGGCTGCAGTCTGAGGCCGCAGACTTTGGGGAGCGTTCTGAGCTCTGGGTGCTCCCTCATGCAGCGGGTGCCATGGGAACGGGGAGCGGGCAGGAAGGGAAGAACAGTGGGAAAAGCAAGATCGCTATCCCTCAGCTGCCGCCGTTGGAGATGCCGGCTCAGGAAGATCTGTGTCTGGATGACCTGCCGCCCCTGGAGCTGCCTGAAGACATCAAGAATGAACTGCAGGAGCTGCTGGACATAGACAAACTGGGATGAAACAATACTGAACCACACACACACACATCACCATCTTCATCATCAAACTACTAGTCCTCATGTCAGATGTGGGTCACTGACAGCTGGGTTCATCTCGGGTTAAACCTAAAATATAGACATGTCTACTGTCCAGGAGACAGTCCCGTCTCCCGGACAGGACTGTCCACGAGACAGTCCTGTCCCAGCAGCTCAACATGTTCTACTGGACTGGAAATCACAGTCAGACATTAGTACCATTACACAACAGGGCAACTGCGGAGTAAATCCCTCTGAAGTAATGGCATACACTCACTCACCACTGATAACTTACCCAGGCTCTGTTATTTGCTCCCGTTTGGAGATAACAACATGCCTTGCCCTTGGTGGCACGAAGAACAAAGTGTTTCATAGAAGGACATCAGGTGAGGAGCAGAAAGCTGCATGTAGAAATGATCTGCAGCAGGAGTTCAGGTCATCTTGTTGTTACCATGGAGAATGCAGTCAACAACATTACATCACCTTTATGTTCCCCTCCATCCTTCTGCATGGTTGTGATGAATGAGCACTGCTCATCCCAGTGCTCATTCACTGGGATGGGTGGTCCCACAACATATTTGGGGTAATTTGGGATTACTATCCATATTTCTGCACACAGATAAAGATGCAGTGAGAACCAGCTGCAGGTGAGCACATTACCGCTGCTCACTGAAAATCAACATGGCTGCAGTTTTCTATCACTGTAGCTGACAGAAATTAAAAGGTTTTAATTATATGTGTGTGCTGTGATTTTTATCTCTTAAGCATTACAACATAATGTCTGATCTGCTTATGGCATTAAAGAGTGTGATGGCAGATGCTGCCCTTTAAAACTATTGCAGTGTTCATGTAACATTGTGCCATCACTCAGATGTTTCCACATTCATCCTCTGGGCCTTATATAGTTGAAACCATGTTCTTGTATTTTGGTTCGAAACTTAGTTCTTATCTCCTATTCAATTTCCTAACATGCTGTGTCTTTGCAATGTCCAGCCACCAAAACATAAAGCTATAAACAGCATGTGGCAACGTTGTTCATACCTATAGATTGGTAAATACAGATGGAAGGGAAAATGGATGATTTGGCTCCATTGATTTAAGTCAGTGCTTCTCAATTCCAGTCCTCACGCCCCCCTGCTCTGCATGTTTTAGATGTGCCTCTACTCCAGAACAGCTGATTCAAATGATTGCATGACCTTCAAGTACTGCAGAGGCCTATTAATCACCAAAATATTGAATCCAGGTGTGTGGCAGAAGGGAAACATGCAGGGCAGGGGGGCGTGAGGACCGGAATTGAGAAACACTGATTTAAGTGAAGAGTTTCATGTACACTGAGGGACATCAGAGACATCTCCCCTGTCCTAACGCTGCAGCTGAAGTCTGTGGTTATGGTGACTGTTACATTTGGAACTGAAATGGGGGAAGTTTGCACCTCAGAGCTCACCAGCCCAGATGGGTAGTGCAGAGTGGCAGCACCATGTTGTTTTATTGCAGGAGGGTAGGGTAGGGTCTGAAGACTGGTGCACTTCAGAAATCTATTTTATGTGTAAATATTATAGCAACATCTCAAGAATTTAGCCAGGAAGTTGAACTTTGAACCTAAGATGGGTCTTCCACATGGGCAGTGTCTCTGAGTTAACCACCTAATTAGTTCCAAAGTAGTTTATGGACAAAATATAAATTCAAAAATACTTTCTAATTCCAGAGGTAAAATTAAATTTACCTAATATCACAGTTTTCTTCACTTATTGATGCTGATGGCTGTCAGCAGGAAGAATGTCCTCTAGCAGTCTGTATTACAGCAACTCTGGAGACACTCTGACAGCCTCATGACGAAGATGCTTGAGGTTGTCTATAATTGTGTCCCTTTTTTTTAATTTTTATAAAGAATCCTTCATGAACCATAATTTCCAGAGGTTCCACAGTCATTCCCAGATCAGAACCAGATCAGTCTTCTTTATCAGGTTGTGACTCCAGTTAACTCAGATGGGTTTCGACTAACCTATCAGTTTGTAGAAAAGGTTTGACCCATGTCATAGAGTTTAAAAGATAGTTATTCCTGATACTCACCAAGTGTATATAAACCTCTGAAATCAAAGAAAGTTGCATTAAAAAAAAAAAAAAAAAACTAAAAAGTTTTTTTTTGGCATTAAGTAAATACAAACTAACTGGCCTGAAAAGCAAGAGAAGTTTGGTCTGATTCAATGAAAAAACATCTGACCTCTGGTTCATTATGAGCCACAGGACACATGTAAACTCAATGCCACTTGAATGAGTGACAGTAGTTTAGATCACATGTTTGTGTAGTTTGCTTCAGTAGATGCACTAACCAAAGCATACCAGCAGGGGGCGCTCAGGTGTTTTTTGGATATTATTTTTCTAGCAAGACGGAAACTTCTAGACGTTCATACACGCAGTCGACACTTTACTGTTTATGTGTAATGACTATACAGTTGAAAGTAGATATTTGTATAACCAATTTTATGTTTTCAACATCTGACAAATCAAACCAAACGTTTCCTGCTTTAGTTCCACTCACACTAACATTTCTAATTGCTAAATACCAGAATCAGAAGTTTTAAGAAATTTTGAAATTCAGAAGTTTCCTTCTGAATTTCCTTCTGAATATTTCCTCAGTGTTTGGTAGAACTACCTACTAAACTGTGACATGGCTCAACATCTGGGGTTTTACTTCCACAAACATGGTTTGGTCTGTCTCACAGTAGTTTACTGGATGTTTGGTATACTTACATTTTCTCATGATGCCATTAGTGCCATAGCAGTGGTTTAGAAGTCCTGAATGGATGCTTTTATTGCAGTGATTTTGGATGATGGGAGAAACAAAGAAACGACAATGTTTTTAGAGCATAAAAGACAATAAAAGCTGCACTTTTTTTTTTTTTGGCCTTTATATTGACAGGCAGATTTTATTTTAGTGTATCTTCAGCAAACTCATCAAAACATTTTAAAAACTGTCCACACAGCCCTGGTGGGCACATCGGCCTTTGGTTTAGTCAGGTATGAGCAATAAATGGACATCAACACATGAGCATGTGCGGCTTGCTGTTGCACATATGCAGGTTGTTCATTAGGATGTTGGAAAAAAAACTGGCTCAGAGAAATCCTGAGTTCCACAGGAAGCAGCAGTGCTGCAGCTAACATGGTTTGGTCTGTCTCCACACAGAAAACTAGATAAGACAAAATGAGATGGAAAACATCAGCACATATAAAATAATGGGAGGATATGCATGTGCAAATTATGCTGTTACAATAAAAAGCATATAAATCACAAAAAAAGTCATAAAAAAGCAAACCATTAACACTCAGAATAGTTAAAGCTTGAAATTTACAACCATGATCTTCTCTAGGTAGATCAATGAAAGTCAGAAAAACTAGAGAATTCCCCTTTTTGACAGAATGAAAGTATTGGGAAGACTCCAACACGCCTGGCTCCCTGTCCATCCAGGGAGCCAGGCGTGTTCCCACTTCCTGTTCTGAGACGTGACTCAACTGCTGCCACGTCTAACGGAGGAAAAGCAGCTGAAAGCAGCAGCACAGTCAGAAATTCTCCTCATGCCTACACTGAAACGAAAAGCATCGTTTTGCTTCAAGCAATGGTTCGAAAACAGCATTTTAAATGATCCAACATACAGAAACAAAATGGTCCACATGAGTTCAAACCTAACAAGTCACGCGTGAGGACATCCATCAACCAGAAGAATGTTTCAGATGATGAAAATAATATTTTATTCTGATTATGGAGTCAGATATTTTGGAAAGCAGTAGCATAAAATTAACACTAAAGCTATTAGCAACATTTGAAATCGCCAAGCCACAGTGGTACCATGTTATTCATATTAAGTGAAAGAGCAGATGATGAGGAATGTGTCTAAAATATAAAGACAAGATATTTCCCACTCCAATAAAAATCCATCAGTCCTAGTGAGAGACGACAGATAGACGATAATACCCCTGGAAAACACTGAGGGGAAACGCTCTGAGCCGCAGGTAATAAATATGTCACCAGACTGGTCATCACATAGAGTCCAGCACAGTGAACCGTCAGAGTGGGAAAACAAGATCATCCACCAATCAGCAGGCAGCTCTGCAGGGTCTCATGACGTGCCGTAGTTCACAGAGTTCAGCGCAGGCCTCTTCTTGCCTTTGATCTTCAGTGATCCATAACGAAGCTGCTGGTGACAGAAAAGACAGTGAGTGCACCAGAATCAGCTTACTGGAGGGTGTTACTGCTGAGAAACGTTCAGCTCAGCATCTTTAGCACAGGTGAAGCTGTGAAAGCCTACAGCTGAAATCACTCTGTCATTTAAATGGACACACAGACAGGAAGGTGTGCACACAGCTGTTGACCTCTGACCTCCCTCCACAATTTCATGATTGTTTGTGATTTTTTGCAAACTCCCTGATTTTGTGGTGCTATACTAGAAATATTAGCAAAGAGTCTCAATATCTTTTTCTCATCAAACCGTTTCCAAACTCTACATCTAGAAGAACAAAGATGAGAAACATAAATAACAGCAGACAGATTGAAAACAAACATTTTTACTCTTTAAAGAACTTGAATAGCAATTTTTGTTTGTTTGTTTGTTTTTCACTATATTTTTCATGAACTATAACCAGGGGTGAAAGTAGTTTTAACTTCTTGGGGGTTGTGAGGGATTTACCCCCTCCCTAACAGGTCACCAATCAGGTGTTGCCATGGAAGCCCGCCCATGAGCAGTGCTGACAAGGACCTGGTGTTTTCAATCAGCCTCATTGGGAAAATCCATTGTCTGAGAGGCAGGAGAGATGTATTTTTGATTTTATTTGGATCCAGATTGTTTTTGTTTTTAGCTTTGTTTGAGTTAATTGTAACTGTGTAAACATTTTTTTAGGAATATAGTTTAGTACAAATGTTTGATCTTTCTTTCTGGAAATGTAAATGTCTCCACCTCTTTAATTAGTCCTGGTGGTAGCCAATCCCTTAAAAGCCAGGTGGTTCAGATGATAGGGAGATTCTCCCTCCTCTTGTTTGACTGCATGACATCCTGTAAAATGAACTGAAGCGTGTGAAGCTGGAGATAAAGAAAAAAGTTGAGAGGTCTAAAACTGTTGGCCCCAGTCTGGTCTTTGGTTTGCGACTAACAGTACCCCTGTTGGCTGCAAACTAACAGGGGTACTATGACAAAAGTATATACCGTATTTTCAGCACTATAAGGCACACCTAAAAACCTTCAATTTCCTCAAAAACCAACAGTGTGCCTTATAATCTGGTGTGCCTTATATATGGACCAATATTGAGCTACAACAGGTCTAGCAACTACTGTAAGCAGCCGCCGACTTCATTTTCACCCATAGAAGAAGAGGTGCGCGGTGCATGCTGGGATAGTTGTCAGAATGCTGGTTTGTAATCTATTAATAAAGTTTGACTGACCTATCTACCTACCGACCGTCTAGAATCAGGTCGTCTGCAGGTCATTTAGCACCACGTTCTCCACGAACATGCTGTGCGCAAACGGAGAAGGGTGACCATCGTCTGGCCACGCCCCGGCCCAGTCGCGGAAGGCTCTCCTCGCTGAGTTGGACTGTTTTGTTGACATTCCATTTAGTGCAGCTCCACCTAGTGGATGCATAACGTAACTCCAGCCTCTACTGTAGCATCTATTCTATGCGCCTTATAATGCGGTGCGCCTTATATATGAAAAAAGTTTTAAAATAGGTCATTCATTGAAGGTGGTGTGCCTTATAGTGTGGAAAATACGGTATATGGAGCTTCTTTGTCTACTTTGGAGTTTCTGTGCTGATTAATTTTTTTGCGAAGCGATAAAAGCTGGGTAGCTCTTGAATTGCTACAAAATGGAGCTGTATTTCCCTCATATTGACACCACGAGATGTCATGAGGCCTAAATTCTGAACATCATGGCATGGAGTGCATCCCAGTTTTCCATGTCTGGCATATAATCATTCATTTTAGCTTTTAAACTGGTTCTATTGATCCTGTGTCCAGACAGAGGGATAATCAGTAGCCCAGCATCATGACCTGTTTGTTCTGAAGATCCTTCAGCTTCCACTTCGTCTTCCTGACATGGCACCTCCTCACCCTGACTCTCATACTGACAGGAGGAACCACTGAGCTCTGTTAGGTTAAAAGCTCATCTTCTGAAGTTGGGATATTTTTCCTCCAACAGATTCCAGAGGAATCGCCTCAAACCAGATGTTGGACTGGATTTTATTTCAATGTCATTTGTGAATGTTAGAGCCTCATTTTCAACAATGGAGCTATAAAGGTTGAAAAAGTTTATCATTTTGGAGAAAATATCATCAACATCAATATTTCCACTAAATAAGAAGCAAAAAAATAGTTTGATAGAGGAAAAACCTCTCAGACTCTGAGCTCAAAGCAAGATGCCAGAGAGCAATAAAAGTTTTTTTAATTAGACAATTAATTTAATTTCACATAATTATCGCTGTAGAAGCCATTTGTTTGTAAAATACTTAATGAAACATATTTACCGTGTTTGATGTTTGTCATGAATGACGTAAACTCACAGACGAACGAGGTAATTAGTCAAAGTTTGTCATTTATTGAACGTTCAGAAACTACAGCGGCTGTGAAGCGCCACAGCAAATGTAAACAAAGGTAAAATAACCCGAATAAGTGATCAACTCTAAACCACTCGCACCTTTTTATTCTCTCTTTGTCATTTAAGGACACCTGTTGCCGCGGCAACTTCCTGCGCTCCTCGAGCCCAGCACAGATTACGTTAACATTTAGTCCGTTACAATATTAGGTTTTCAGGCTTGATATTTATTTTGCGATTATTAATAAGCATTCCCCTGAACACAGCGGTGGTTGATTAGTTAATTTTAAACTTCTGCTTTGATAGTTGTTTTGGTAATGGAACCGAAACGCACAGAATTGTGCAACACCTTGTTGAAACAATAATTACTGAGATTATTGTTTTTGTTGGGTCATTCATTTGAACACTTTAACATTTTTTTGTTGTTGTTCTTTAAAAGGAGTCAGAGGAGGATGTGATGGTCTCAGTGTCCTGGCGGTGTTCAGTTTGAGATCGACTCAAAACCTTCCGTGATCAACGTATTGCACATCTGCTCTAGGAAAGCACGAAGAAAGAAGAGACAATATGAAATTGGAAAAAATCTATTTATTAACTGATTAAGTTGTGTTTTAGATTGTTCTTGAAAAACTAATCAGTCACGGCTGATTAGTGGGTGCACTCACAGCTGCACAGTGAACCCACTGATTATTTACAGCAGACAGCCGCTCCTCTCTCTTCCAGGTACTGCGTACCCCCGCTAAATCTTTTAGGGGTACGGAGTACCCGACCATACCTGCCTACTTTCACCCCTGACTATAACTAGATATCAAGTGAGACAGAGGCAGCAGTAGAGTAAGAAATACTGCCACCTGCAGGTGGGAGTTAGCCATCACTTAAACAAAATGTTTTAGACCATTTTTTGTAGAACATTGGAAACTCTCAATTAATTATTGGCAGGGAAAAATGCAGGGACTGTCTGGTTTTAGCAATGGATTAGTTTTAGTGGAAAGCATGCAGTCATCATGCTGTATTAGCCTCTCATGCAGGAAAATACAACTAAGAATATTCCAGTTGAACTTTAATGTTAGGAGTTCAGCTGCAGCAACAAAGATTTGAGAATGTTCAGGAACTCAGCACCTCACCTCCAGTTAAAGGCTCTATCAGAGGTTGTTAAATTGTCTGGATTTGCCTGAAAGTCTGATTTTTTTTGTCGTATTTAAATAGTGTGTAAATCTCCACATGCGGAAGACAAAATGCCCTGTCTATCCCTTCAGGAGTGTATTTCCCATATTTTCCCGGTCAGCAGGGTCAGGTGGCACTTACATCTTTGCGGACTCTGGATCTTGTGATCTTGACGCTCTGGGAACGTCTTAGTCCTTTCTGACTGACGGCCTCATCTTCAGAGAACGTTGGCTCAGCCTCGTCATCAGACCCATCCTCCTGCTCATAATAGTACTCTAAAGAAACAAAAGATACACACACGGTAATCAATGAAAATGACGTGATTGTATGTGAAGCTTCCTTTGGTGAGCTGAATAACTTCCATCTATTAGGATTAAATCATCGGGTCTCTCCTTCCCTCATCAGATGCCAGTTTCTGGCATACGGAATGTTACATGTGGTAAAAACGTATATATGACAACAAACCTAACCATATGGGAAGATGATTATTATAATGTGTACTGTGAGAGAACTGTGTAGAAGAACAACAGTGAAAAGTAGACTGAGGATTTAACATCAGGCGGGTTCCTCCATTTCTCACAAGGTCTTGTGAATGTTGATGACTGTGGCACCACTGAGGAGTTTCAGCTTCCTCTCTGTCCACATCATGCACACATTCCGACCTGAATGTGTGTTCATGTTTGTGTGTCTTTGTGTTGCCGGTGTGTGTTAAAGAAGTGAAGGTGCAGCTGAGCTCAGCAGAACCCTCATGTTTCTGCTACCTAGAGCACACACACTTAATCAGATTAATCATGATGGTTATTGAAGTAATCATCAACTAATTTAGTAACAGATTGATTGTTAACTAGAGTATACAGACACCAAAATGGCCGTTGGCTGAAAAACAACATATATAGAGCACTAATTAAGCTAAAACTGTATATAATATATATGCTTTGTGCAAAAACCACCTCATAAGCATGACGAGTCCTTCCATACGGCCAAAACACATTACTTGTTTTTGTGGCATCAACACAAGGGTGACATAAACTTTAAACGCTTTGATTAAAGTCAGAAGAATGGAGACAGATTTCACATTAGCTGCAATTATGCAATTATTTTTGAGTCAGAAGCTCAGATTTCCTGCTCTAAGCTTCACCAACAAACCAAAAGGCTGAAATGAAAGAAAAAGGTAATCTTTATCGCCATCTTGTGGTAGACTGGCTATTTAATAAAACACATAAACTAACCCAGTTTGAGGACTTTAAATGATATTAAAATAGTAAGACCTAAATTCAAAGTGAAGCAGATTCAGCTTAGAGCTTCATCTGTTCTGAATTCTGTAACAACACAAAGATGGCTGAACACAAAGAGCAACCCCGCTCCGCCCCGTCCCGCCATGCAGGCCCGCCCACATATCTGCCCGTCCCTATCCAACACGCACCAACAGGACCTTCTGACTCAGCAGCTCCGTGCTCCAACCCACACCACCTGAAAACAATGGCTTCCTTGCTGCTGCTTCCTGACTTGCTGACCTCTGACCCCAACAGCTGTTTTACCAGGGATTTCCTGGTTTTGTTGAAAGTGTGCGCTTTCTGTTTGTTTTTGGTCTTAGGTCCTGCTATTGCCACATAAGATCTAGGGTTGGCTCTCCACTTGATCCAAGGAAACAGACAGGAACTAGTTAGAAGAGCTGGAATGAGAGCAAACTTCCCAGGAGATCAACAAACACCAAACAACTGACTGAATAAAGAAAATACAGCACTTCCCCTCAACTGTTCTCCATGTTCTCTACTGATGGGAAAAAAACCTACTTTTTTTCCCATCAACTTCAGAGCTGATGCTCCTCCCTCCACAGACCAATGAAACGAGGTCTTACTGCTGCAGATACTCTGCTGTTCATCCCACATACCTTCCAGCTGGCTCAGAGCTAATCTGTTCAGAGTCCTGTCCCTTTTAGAAGAGCTTCTGTTTCAAACGCTATCAAATATGTAAGCCGGGATCTAGAACATGATGACATGCTGAGGAAGAAATTCAACCAATCAATGATGGTTTGTACCAGAGACAATTAACCCAGCAGAACTCTGGAGTTTGACTTCCAGCTGAACCTCTGGATTCCACAGAGTCACTTTAGTGGTAAATCTCTCCAACACCCTGAATGTGATGGACAGAGCCAAATATTGTTCCATCAACCTTCAGACAAAAACACCTGGCAGGTCAGAGATCCACAGAAAAGAGCCCAACAATACAAGCTTCCTTAGACACGTACCCAGTGATGGTTCCCAGGCTACGGTTGCCTAGACGCCAGCTGTGCGCTGTGAGAACTCAAAGCTGTTGATGGAAAGATAAATCAATTCCAATCTTTTACATCTACTGCAATGCCACTAATTACCAGCATGTGTGTTCACAGGAGAGAATGTGTGAGAATGATTCACACAGATGCATCCCACTGTAGGTTTCCATGGCAACTCACTGGCAGGTCTGTAACATCAGCAACAGAGCTGTGAGCCAGGAGTAAATAAGTCCAACAGGAATATTTGATGATATAATTTATTCCACCTGTATTCCGTGTATCTGGTCAAGAGAGGGAGCTGTAGAGCAGGCGAGGTAACCCAAGGTTCTGGCTGCCTGAGCTGAATACATGATGCCTCCATGTTCCCATCCCTCTGTCACTCTTCCTGCATCCATCCTTGGAATCTCTTTTCTCCTCCTATATAATCCTCTGCAGCTCTATATTTTTGAGCTCCAATCAGAGAGTGTGTGTGTGCGTGTATTAAAAAGACAAGCATAGAAGGAACAGTGAGTATGTGTTTGGCATTCTGCTGGCATCCCCACTACACCTCATCTCATCCCCTCCGTCTGCTGGGAAGTCATCTCACACACACTCTTTCACACACAGCTGCTGAGTGCTTTCATTGAAATGCCAGCCAAACTGGAGGGAAGGAGGAAGCCGAGGAAAAACAGCACACAGAGAAAATCAGTCCAAACAGCAGTGGACAAAGTGCAGTGATGACAGGCTACCTGGATCTGTTTCTGATGCAGCCAGGAGGCGACCTGACGATTAGCAATGCAAAGAATGGGAACAGAAAGTAGCTGTAACCCCCGAAAACCAAGCCATGCCTCAGCCATGGTCAGGTCTATTCTTCAGTTTAGTTTGTGGAGCCCACTGGGGTGTGAATATTTATATGATCTGTGTTTATTGTGAGAACATCACAGCAGTGATCAGTCCTAAAACATTAAAGACCGAGGTCAGACCAGAACAGCTGTTGTTGTTTATTTCAAAGGGACAAGGTAGATTACAAAATATTACCGAGTTAGCCACGGATGCTAGTTTTCATCTATAGTCCCTAAGGGTCCCATTGATATAAATACAATATATTACAGTGCAGTTACAGGTAAGTTAACAAGCCTCTTTCCATAAAAAAGACAAGAAGACTAATAATAATAAATATTAAGATTGTTTGTCTTTTCTTTTTTTATATTGGTAGCAAGGACTAGAGGAAGCTTCATGAAAAGAAGAAAATAATTTTTTTTGTTTTTATTTTTGTTATGTGTTCAGAAACTTAGATTTTTCTGTCTCAAATGGAGTGTCCATGTTTAGATCCTGTGGTCATGAGTTTGGATTTTAACATCACAGGCTCTGATAAAGAAGAGTAGTTATGACTGATTCATCCTGGGATGGAGGGAAACATTTCTCTGGACTTTCTCCTGGATGTTCAGAGCAGTGCTGATGTGGACACATTCTGTGCAGGTGAAACTCACCAGAACTGATCAGCGGGGAAAGTTGTGTGTTTGATTCCAGCTTCCTCCTTCCATAAGGTTATTGTGACCCTGAGCAAGGCTCTTAACCTCTAGTTGCCTACCAATGTGTCGGTGCATGAATGTGTGTGTGTGTGTGTATGTGTGTGTGTGTGTGTGTGTGTGTGTGTGTGTGTACGAGACTGAATGAATGTCTTGTACATGAGGGTTGGCTGGAGGCTCCAGAAGGCTCCAGAAATGCATGAAAGTCACGACAATATCCTAATAAAGAGAGAAATCCAAACATATTTCTGAGTGTGTGTAGGTGAGTGTGTCTGTACATACCATCTCTGGAGGCTGGGTCGGTGTTCTGGGACCTCCTGGAGGCCGGGTTAGCTGAGTGGGGGTTGTACGGGTACAGCTGGTTTCCTCTGTCGTCCTGCTGGCCGATCTGCGTCAGATCATGCATGCTCAGGCTGCGCAGCTTCTCTGTTATGGCTCCCTGACCCTGACAAGCCAACAGGCAACGTAAATTAACACAGCTCAACACTTCTCTCCTTTACTGTCTACATGTCAAACAGTAAAGAAATATGTGACAGGTGAGACTTGGCTCCAGAACAAAAAGACCCTGTTTATTTGGTGTTAAACAGAAAAAAAAAATCCTCATTTGCTCTTCTTGTTCAGAGGGAAACAAGTAAAGATGAAACATTCAGAAAATATAAGTAAAACTCTTCATGGTTCATTCTAAAAAGCATAAACATCTTCTACAAAACACTGGCAGAAACATCAGTTGAGTGAATTCCTGACTCTTCATTCAAGCAGCAGTTATCTGTCTTCACGATTCTCAGTGTCTGCATCATTTCTACTGCATCATTCATTCTGACTCAGGTCCAGGAGTACAGAGAAGTAAACGTCTCTGTACTCCTGTTGAGCAGCAGCACAGATGCTCAACTGGCCAGCTGCCAACAGGTCAAAGTTAACTAAGGATTATTTTAATAATCAAGTATTCCATTGATTATTCTGATGATTAAACAGATAAAAAATTGGCACATTCTGCAGATTTTTCACTTAACCACTTAAGTCTTTTTATACAAAGTTGGAAATACATTAAAGGATGCAAATAAACAAATAACCCAAGTCATTTTTTTAAATGAGAAAATGAACATTTTATCACCTAAAATACAATAGCAGCATTCCTTTAGTGAACACAAAGGATGAATCTTCAGCTAACTGCATACATCTAACATCAATATGTGAAATCCTCAGCCTTTTTTTTTTTTTTTTTGATTAATAACTGGGTAGCTAATGGTGCTTTTTCTAAATAGAATTTGAAAGAGGTGAGGCTAAAACTGCTACTTGAGGACTTCTGGGTAGAACACATTTATAGATAAATTAGGTTGTTTTGTTTTCTTATCTTAAATTCTAAATGCATAGAGTTTTGTAAAGTTTTCACTTAATTTCTACTCAGTGTGTTGTTCTTTCAGTAAACTGCCTTTTTTAATCTGCATACTCTAGTTAACGATAATTGACTTCTAGATTAGTTGATGGCTATTTCAATAATTGATTCATTGCAATGAATCTGATTGTGTCAGCCTATAGATTAGTTCTGTTTGCAAAAATACAAAGTATGAAAAATTATAAGATCAGTAATTAGAATGTTTTTGCTCTCCTTGGTTATCATTGAGCTAAAGATGCTAGCAATATGAGGAGCCACTCTGTGTTACAGTTAGATAAAGAGCCAACATATTAGTAAATCAGTCCTGTTACATTAATAAATGGAGGACAGAAAGGTTAATAAGGTCAAACTGAAATACAGACATATGAAATATGATCCTTACATTAATTTATGTAATAACAGATAAACAATTTCTTCATGCTGGCATAGTTAGACAGAGTTAGACAAAATGAGTGGGAACTACAACAAAAGTAAGAAAAATAATAAAGCCTCGTATATGAAATAGTCAAAGGTAATTTGGGAATCATAGTTGCAAAAATAGAAAATATTTTTGGCAAGACACTGAATTATTAAATCCATACCAAGGTTTTTGGGTTGCAGATCTGAAAGCACCTCCCTGTTTAGTTCTAGGGTTTATTTATTAGCACATCAGAAGAAAAATGATCTAGTCTTTATCAAAGGAATCACTGTGATAAACTAAGTACACCCTTGTTGTAGACTGTGTTTGGTGCAGAGAATGCTAAAGTAAAACTACTAACCAGGCAGACTAAACGACAGAGCTGATGGCAGCGAACAAGTAGGAATTCTAAGGTTTTCTTCTCGTCTGACAGGACTGGCAGCAGAGATTCAGATCGAAGCACTGCAGAGGCAGACAGTCCACAAATCAACATGTTGGACTGAAGAAACAAATATCCACAAGCTTCAATAAACTGAAGCAACACTGAAGTGCAATGGGTCCTCAGCCATGATAACACAGCAGGTCTTGATGTTCAATTCTGAATCGGATGTTTTTGTGTGTGGTTGTTCATTCTACTGACTGATGTGCCCAAAATCAGATATCTGTGAACGGTTTGTGTCCCCAAAAGCGACCCACATGAGCAGAAGAAGAACGCTGACGTCACACAACAACGCTCTTTACAGATGTAGTAATGGACGCTGCCTCTATGGAGGGAATTTAAAGTTCTTGAAAGCCTATAGTATCGTCACAGGATCAGAACCAGATGAAGGAAGCTAATAAAACGAAGCACAACTCGTAGCAGCAACCTTTAGCGGAACATTGACTGCAGCTTCTGGAGAGAAGTCTGTAGTCTGTTTGGATGTGGAGTCAGACCAGGAGTGGTGCACTCCAGACAAGTTTCATCATTTTCAGAATTAGAATTTTCAGCCATTATTTACATCAGAATTCACTCAGTCTACCCTGTCACCCTCACCCAATCAATTATACTGGGAACCAATCCGACCCCAAGTAACTACAGGGTCAGTATGACCCATGCCAATTCCAATATCAATACTTTCTTCTCAAAATGCGATCATCATGGAATAACTTGATGGATTTGACTTCAGTTAGTTGATTATGATAAAATGCAGGGCAAAGATTTTAGGAAAATTAAAGTCTTTTTTACGAACCAACTACAATATAAATAAAATGATTCTCTTTTTACCTTCTACAATAGACAATTGTTTATCCAATTATTTAACTGTAATCTGCATGCAAACTAAATAATATTATTTTTCCTTCAATAGTTCACACAATATGTCTCGCTGGAGATAGGCACCAGAGCCCCTCCTGACCACGATAGGGACAAGGAGGTCAGAAAATGGATGGATGGATAATTCACACAAAAACATTATTATATTAAACCATATTCATATTTGCAAACATCACAAAGGTATAAAGTTCTGCTCTAAAATAAAAAATGTAAGCTCTTGATAATTAAAACTGTAATTCCTCTATGAGCAAATATGATTAATTGGCAAAGAGAAACAGCACATAAAAGTATCTATCTCATAAAGCTAGCTTCTATCCAAAACCAATATTCGCCTTGGTATTGATAGAATCAATATTTAGAGCGATACGCCAGCCCTACAGTTCAGAATACTATTTTGGAAATAGTCAGATAAGTATCTGATTTAGTTCTACTTATGGGAGGAGCACAGACTGGATTTTCTGGGGGTGAAAAGATCGTACTCGTGCAGTTTGGACGGCCATGAAACAGAGTTCATTCAGATTTAGGTTGTTCTCACTCACTCATTCAAATCAGGTCAGTTGTAGGGTGTACTTACTTTTCTTATCAAACATTTTTCCACTTTGGTCATTTTTTGGTTTAGTAACTAATGTGTTTTTTCATAGACCCTGGTGGACCAGATCATTGCTATGATGTCCTAATATAATAGAGCCTAGAGTCCAAAGAGGGTGTATTTTCTTTTACCCATGGCTGTATGCTGAGAGGCTGGTGATGGGCAGCACTGTATGAAGTAAGCATGCTATTTGCTCTTTACCTCTCAGAGGAGCATGCTGAGGTGCACACACTTTGAAGGATGTCAGTGCAGAGGAAGAAAAACACAAGTCATGTTAGGGTCAAAGGAAACAGTGAAGACTAGTTCAAATTTAGAAACTGCTCAAATGTTTCCTTTGCTTCATTCTTTTCTGAAGAAAATGTCTCCGATGGAACTGATGGAACCGCTTCTGGTACAGTCAGAACCCGGCAGCATCCACTACGTTAGAACATCAGAACCTACTCTGCCAAAGTTGATTTTCACAACTACAATACATCTAGAAGAGTTCACATCCCTGTTAAAATGCAGGTTCTGAATCAGTATAATATAACAAACAGAGCTGAAGGATCCACTCTGTTCATGAGATGGGAGCAAATATGATAAAATGTTCAGGAGAACATGAAGTATGAACAATATTTTCATAGAAAGCAATAATCCACATTTTTGTTTTAAAGAATGGCTTCATAAACAACAGCAGAGTTTCAAAGCATCTGCCATCATTGTATAATAATTCAGTCCAACCTTGACTAGGTCATATACTGCCATTATGTTGGTCCTGAACCAAGGTGGTCTATTGGTAGAAAAGACTAAGCAGGAGGGGCTGATGGGAGATATTTTTCATCAGTGTCCTGTAGGCGGGGCAACGCTGTCACATGTGGTTCATTACACTTCAAGTTTCAGATCAAGCCTGGAGATACCTGGCCATTAACAGGTAGATGTTATCCTCACAGTGTACTCAAACACAACACATTACAAGTTTAAAAACAGAATAACTGGGCAGATTTATGACTGGAACTGGTTCCCATATCCAGACCCAGTTATCCCAGACATGTTAGTCTGAACTCAGCTGGGAAGTCTGGCTACAAAGAAGCACACCATTGGAATAACGGACACATTCACATTAACACATGACTTCTTTTCATTTAGAAGAAATACATTCAAAATGTAAAATGTTCTTTCACTCACCTTGACAGCAGCAGAGACAGCAGCCGTAGCTGCAATACTTAATCCCTGCTTGCCAAAGTTCACCATGGTCTCATAGCTTCTCTCTTTGGCCTGCACGATATATTCATCTATTTCCTAGACGGATACAATCAATAACACTCTTACTGGAGACAGTTTAATCAGGTAAAAAGCAGCAGAAGCAGAAGTTAAACATGTTCTGTTATTCTCAACAGAAGTTAAACATGTTCTCAGAGGCAGACAGAGAAAGATGGATAGTCGTACTCTCTCTCTGGAGGACAGCAGGGGGTGCAGACACTTCCTGTAAATGAGACTTGCTCCTCTGGTGTAAGGCGACAGCAGCCAGATCACAAAGGCTATCTTCAGCTCGTAGTACAGAGGGAACCTGGACAGACAGAGAAGCTGCTGGCTCACATGGGACTCAGGACTGAGCTGCTTTTCCACCTCAGACATGCAGTCAACATGGCCACTTCCATCAAGTTAAACATTATGTTACACCAGTGGTTCCCAAACCTTTTCTTCTGCGCCCCCCCAGTGGTTTCCAAACATTTTCTGCGCCCCCCCATGGAT